GAGCCGGGATGCGGCCTACGCGAAGGCGCGCCTGTCGCTGCCGTGGGCGAGAACCCCTCTGGCGACCTCGCCGGCGGCGGTAGAGGAGGCGGGTCGTCCTTCGCGCGAGGTCGAGGGTGCCGCCGAGGGTGTGGGCCGCGCCATGGATGAGGACTATGATACGATCGAGCGCATCGCACGCAACTACGGGATCACGGTGGGGGAGGTGCTGTCGTGGAACCCCTGCCTGGTGGGGTATCGGCCGGATGAGGTGCTGCCGGCGAACTTGCCGATTGTGCTGCTCATGCCTGATGATGAGGGGGAGGAGCCCTCTAAAGATATCTTGCCGACACCGATCATGCCATAGATGCCGCCTTCGAATTTTTGTTTTTCCTCTCTTGGAATGGTTTTTGACTTTTCTTGTTTAGCCCTTTGTTTATGAGGATTGCTGATGCTTATTGCCGTTCCTTCATTCAACAACTACTGGTGCGCATCGATAGATATTGCCACCCGCCTATCCATATGCATACATATATGAATAGATAGATTAATGAACATATGCATGCATGGAGAGGAAAAAATAGCGCAGCAAATCAACTAGAAAAAGACGTCTAGTTATAGAATATCGCATTATTTAATTTTCTTCGTGTTTATCTTTATCAAAAAAGTGTGATTTTGGTATGTGTCTGTGTGCGTTGGGAGGATTCATAGGTGAATGATTGTAGTGGTGGTGTTACTTGTCTGTACACGATACTACTTTCAGAAGCTAGACAAACTTTTGTCGGTCTATTATATTTACTTTCCACACAATTAATATAATCTTTCTCTATCTTTTTAAGAGAAAATAGAAGTTAAGCCGAGTCAAGTATAACTCCAATTTGACAGACTAAAGTATTCCTTGTTTAGTCTTTTTGAATGTAATACGAAAGAAGAACGTGAGGGATAGAATTTTTTTCCTTTCAAATGCCATTTGTAGAATACCGTTAACGCTTTTTCCATAGTTTTGTTTTTTCTATTATACTCTGATTCTGAGATCGATATTATTAACAGTAAATTGTCCAAGCTTTATGATGGAGTCTTTTAGAAAGCCTCTTTTCTTCCTTCCCCCCCTTCCGTTTTTTTATTGCTTAACTTTTCCTTTACCAATCCTTAAGGTACCCCTCCCTCGGTTAGGCATAGAAAGCTCTAAAGTGCCGGTCTGACATTTTCATTTATCCGTACAAATTTTAGGAAAAGTGGAGAAAATGTCGCATCCCCAACTGCCTCTGGTCCTGCGCAAAGATGATCACTTAGTGGTTGCCGTATACGATGAGGACAAGTCTACCCTCACGGAGCTGATCGGGGAATCCACGAACTACTACACCGGCGACTACCGCGAGTGCGAGGTCTGCTTCAACCCCGCCGAGCCAAGCATGTTCGCGCACGCCACCACAACGCATCTGCGCTGCAGCTACGTCAGCACTTCCGAGGAGGGTGGCTTTTCTACCAAACTTCTCTTTGAGCAGGAGATGCCGCACGTCGTGATTGAGATGGCGTTTTCCCCGCGCGGGACGTACTTGGTGACGTATGCGATGATGGACCGCAAGCGGACTCCGGGTGGAAACCTCAGCGTGTTTGACGTTGCTACAGGAGCTTGTCTTCTACGTAGTATGCAGGCGCGCTGGCCGGCGATGGTGTGGACGATGGAGGAGGAGTATCTCGTTCGGCCGATGCAGGGATGGCTGCATGTTCTCGAAGGGAATCCCTCCGGCGAGGCGCCGGCGGAATTCGTGAACTCCAAGCCGGCTGAGGCGAGCCGAGGCTCTCCGACGAGCCCGAACCACGGCGGTGGGGTCTTTTCGTGTTTGAGTAAGACCGACCTCATGCTTGCGCAGGATAAGGAAATCGCGTTTTCAACCTGCCCGACGGAGGGTCTCTCCATGTTGGCGCTCTTTAAGCCCTTCTACAAACAGCAGCAGGCGACCCTTTCCCTGTATCGCCTGCCCAATCTCCACGACGGCGCGCTCTACCAGGTGCCCTTTGGTCGCTCCGAGTCGGCACGGATTTTGTGGAGCTTCGGAGGGCATCATATCGCGCTTTTGGTGCAATCCGAGTGCGATTCGAGCGGGAAGAGCTACTACGGCACGGTCACCCTGCATCTGATTGACGTCCTCAAGCGAAGCACCACCACGATCCGGCTCACCGGGGATGGCGAAACGGTGCACGACGCGCAGTGGTCCCCTACCCGCATCGACGAGCTCCTCGTCGTCCATGGCCGGATGCCGCAAAACCGGGCCACCCTGTACAACAAAAGCGGCGTGAAGCTGCTCAGCCTCGGGGAGGCGCCGCGGAATATGGCGCAGTGGGCGCCCAACGCGGAGGGTTTCGTCCTCGGTGGCAGTGGTAACCTCGCAGGGGATTACGTCTTCTACGCCTACCCTGCCGGATCCACCGCGAAGGCGGTTTCCGAGGCGGGTGCTCGACCTTCCCTTTCCGCCTCCTCCCCCTCTCTTGCACCCGTCTGCACGGGTGAATTCAACGAGAAGTGCAGCTTCCACAGCTGGGCCCCGGATAGCCATCATTTCCTCTGCGCCACCCTCTTCACACGGTTGCGGATGGATAATAAGGTGGTGCTCGTCAAGAAGAACGGGGCGCGAGTGGTGACGGTGCGCTATAAGGAGCTTTACGGCGCGCATTGGGTGCAGATGAGGCCCGCGAGCGCCCACCCTCGCCGTGCGCCCTCCCCACAAGGAGGGGAGTCCGAGCAGGAGGCCAAACCGCGTGTGTATTGTCCCCCCGGGGGAACCTCCTCGAGGGCCGCCGCGCTACTCCGCCGGCCGCAGAATTCCGCTTTAGGCTCGGGGGCCGCCCCCGCAGCGACCGTCGGTCCCGTCGGCGCGACCTTGGTCGAGAAGAAGAAGAAGAAGAAGAAGCATTAGAGCCAGGGAGGAGGATAGAACAAGGGATTCTGACAATTAAGAAGGTATTATATATTTAGTGTGTACACCTGGATGAGGATGGGTGTGCGGGAGTGTATGAGGGTAATTCTTAATTTTTAAGTGCTATGGGAACAGAAACGATTTTTTTTTTGTATATATACGCGAACGGTTAATTCTGATAGTTATTTGTTTGAAAATAAGAATGGTAGTGATGGTAAGCAACAGAGTTAAATGCAGGCTAAGCGAATTTTTTGATTGGGAGGGGGGTGGTAGGAGTGAAGAATTGCATGAATTAGTGCTTTTCAAATAACATGATCCCACATTACTTTTTTTGTGCAAGGGTTGACGAGAGTATTTTATCCTAATCCTTCTTCCGTTTTTCGTTGCTTGTGTTTAAACCTCGTCCTCGCCATTTTTTAAATCTTTGTATTAGTGTAAACGAACGAAAAATTTCCAGAATAAACTGAATTTCCCCGTCTGTGGTTACAATGCCCCCCAAGAAGGAAATTAAAAAGCATCCTCGCAGCGATTCGCCGCCGTCGACGGACTCCGAGGCTCCCGATAAGAAAGCGAAGGTCCCTCGCGCGACAGCGACCGTCATTGGGAACCGCACAGAAGGCCCCTTAACACGCTCCCCCGAGGTCCTCTCCTGCCTGAATGAGAAGAAGACGGAGAAACAGATTTGGGAGGCCGTCACCCCTTTCGTCCGTCGCACCAAAGACAGCGAGTTTAACCCCGCCGAGATGTACAAATTCGGCACCTGGAATGTGATGAGCCTCCGGGGGCTTCTCCGCAAGAACGAATCCGCCCTCCGCGATCTCCTCCACAAGGAGCGCTTTGACATCTTTTGTTTGCAAGAGACGAAGCTGAACCCCGGCGACGCGGGGAACGAGACGTTGGGGGTGGTGGAAGGCTACAGCTTTGTCGACCACCCTTGTGCGGCGAAGAATGGCTACTCAGGGACGCGGACCTACGTGAAGAACGATCGCGTGCGCGACGCCCTCGGGGCGCGGCATGCCCGTGGTTTGCAGGTGAACCCCACTTCGGAAGGCGCCGGGGATGCGGAAGGGCGCGTGTTGACGACGTGGCTTTCCCCGCCTTCCTCGGCCGCCGCGGGGCCGACGATCGCGGTCGTGAACACCTATATCCCCAACAGCGGGATGAAGCTGGATCGTCTGGCCTACCGTGTAGAGGACTTCGATCAGAAGATTCGGCAATACCTGCAAGAGGTGGATCAGCTCTGTGTGCAAAATGCCAAGGATCTTGCGGGGAAGGCCAAAGCGGACGCCGCGGAGCCTTTTGCGGGGTTTATCTGGACAGGCGACCTCAACGTCGCGCAGTGCGACTTCGATCGCTTTTTCGGTGGAAACTGGAAGACGATGCAGCAGTGCGCGTGTTTCACACCCGAGGAACGGTGGTCGTTTCGGGATACCCTCAGCGCGACCAAGTCGGTAGATGCTTTTCGGTATTTATACCCAAACGCCGCGCCGGTGTACACCTTCTGGTCGATGCGATTTAACGGCCGCAGCCGGGGAATGGGGTGGCGTCTGGATTATTTCGTCCTCCCTCAGCGTTTGGCGCGCCGCGTGGTGGACTGCTATGCCATGCCGGAGGTCATGGGCAGCGACCATTGCCCCGTCCAACTCTGGCTGAAGAAGCAATGACAACGAGCGTTACGGCGTTGCCGGTAAGAGGACCTCTTTTCTCCGGAGTGAGGGTGGTTTGATTTCTTTGTTCCTCTCCCCCCCCCCCACCAGCACGTTCGCTATCCTTTTGAGAGCAGATGCACGCATAATGCACCTGTTCCCGGGGAAGGAGCTCCGACCGACATCGTCGTGGCAGCCGACTTGTTCACAGCAAAGGTGCTTGAGTTACTCATCCGTCCGACCCCCGGCTGTTCGGATGTCTGCTCTAGAGCAAGGTGCTGAAGGTATGAAATGATCCCCCTCTCAATGTGCCGATGCTGGGTGTGGGTGAGGGGTGATAAAGAAAGAGGGATCAAAAGAGATATCCTTCAGTTCGTTGGGTTTGCTAGTATTAAAATCGTCATAATATTAGCGAATCCATCGTGAGTCCTTCTTTTTCTCTCACCGACATTTTTGCAGTATTCGAACTCGTGTGCTTTTCTTTCAGAGGAGCAGTTGAAAGCCCGACACTTTGGGAAGAATTTTTTTATCGTATTTACAAATAACCATATACTTTTTCTCCCTTAGATAGTCTATTTCATAAGATTATGCGTATCATAGTGATACCTATTAAGGGGTGAGGTTACATCCTTCATGATGGGTGTTGTAGTTAGTGTTGTTGGTTTAAGTACACCGCACATTATAAGTAGCTGAAATGTGAGGTGAGGGAACTGAAAATTCGATCCAAGGTGACCTTTCTCTTGGGGTTTTGCCCTTGGTAAGTTTGTCGTATCTATCACTGTCTAATTAAACTCATAGATTAAAAGCGTTGCACATCATTAGTTCTCTCAACATGTAGTACGAACTCCTGGGTGCATTTTATGGTAATCAACTTTTCTGTGGATGATTGTCGTGTTTCATAGACGTACCAACCATACATACTTAGGATAATGTGAGTGGATGGAAATGCACCGCTCATTTTTGACATCTCACGAAAATAACTTTCGATATTATCCTTCGCATAAGCATGCGTTTACGACTATTTATTATCATTGTTTTTACTTTGAGATGCGTGACCACAATAACTTCCTCTTTCTATTCCATCATTTATTTGGTGTTAATTTACTGATACCTTTTTAGACATCCTATTGAGTTCTTATATATAAATATATTTATTTGTAGCTAATTCAGCCCTAGTAAAGCAACCAACAAATAAACACCCCAAAGGTGTTTCCACACACAGAATAGGATCCAGATTCCAGAAGGATACCAGTCAGATTGCCGTCTCTTCCTCCGCCTTGACCTCTCCGGTGACATTCCTCACACTTCCTCAGTCCCCCTTGTCTAAAAGAAGCTCCCATCTTGCAAAGGTGGAAAGACTCCTAAAGGGAACCGTGTGGCTTGTGAGACACGTCGTTTTCTCCCTTTGTTTTTTTTTCTTCCCTTTTCCGTCTTCTTTTGCCCTTCACGTCCTGCTATGCTGTGTTGCACATCGCGGTTTCTCTGGAGTCGGACAGCTGTCACCCTCGTCTTTGCCCTTTCGGGAGGGCGACGCGGGCAGGCCTCGAAGGAGGGCGGCTCCGCCTCAGAGGCTCATTGGGCTGCTTTTCCCCCTCCAGACACCGGTGGAGTTTCCTACGGCGAGGAAGAGCTCCTCCTTGAGCGTAATTTTTACGCGGATGAGGGGCCCGATGGGGAGGCGGCTGGCTTCCCTGAGGATTCCCGCGAGCGCGCGGGGGTGCAAGCCGTGTGTGAGGACTTGGACTCGCCGAGATGCCTCCGAGGCAAGCCCTTTCCTGAGTGCATCGCGCAGAAGCTGCGGTGTGCGGCCGCGGCGAAGGGCTTCAGCCTTCCGATATGGGCTTCCATGAAGGCTTGCCTCGAGATAGGGCTCGAGCTACGGCCCGGAGAGGATAGGGGGACAATCGTACATGGGTGGGGTGCCAGTGAGTTAGAGTTATACAACATTCAACAAACGAATTACCCCTATTCCCATATTAAGGATACTATGCAGGATGTTTTGAACGGTTTGCGGAATCGACATAATCTCTTCATGCCGCGTGGTATCAGTGGTCGATTATTACCAAATACATACGCATCAACGATTCGGTGTCATCCGTCTTTCTCTACACTTCAGGCGATCTGCCCGTTGTGGATTAACAATATTCAATTGAGTGCGATGCATGACCGTGTAAAAGAGTCCGAAAAATCTAACTTCGTATTTATTCCCACATTTATAAAACCATTCACAAGCTTTGGGTTTTCCTTGCCATTTTTTGCAATGAAGACGAACCAGAGTCAGAGTGTGGGATCGGGTGCAGATTTCCGCAAAAATCTCATTTATTATAACGTCTCGCAGCTCGAGAACGCTGAGCGGTACACCAGGGATCGAGATGTTTTCAAGCCATTGTTTATGTTGAGTGCATATGGCAAACGATACCCCGCGGTGTTTTCATTCCAGTTGTTCGAGTACTGTCGCAAGTACTTTTTTAACAAGAATACTGTCTCAGTGTGGGTCACGGAGTCGCGGCTGAAAAAGTTGGGCGGGGAAGTAATTCACGAGCCCCGCTTCTCGACCGAGGAGGCTCGACAATCGTACCTGACGCAGAGCCCTCTTCCGCCCAGTGCAGATGGACGTAAGGAAGGGATCGTACCACCACCATTTGTGACGTCCTTTAATAGTGAGATTATAACGCTTTTAAACGCGGAGCAGACCAGCTTGTATGCTTTGCTCCACAGAATGGCTCAGAAAATGTATTATGAATATCTTGCACATCCTGCGGCAAGTGATAAATGTGAAGCAAAACGATATCTAAGCTCGATCTTTCAATGACAAAAATAGGAATCAAACAGTTTTTTTGACTCCCCACCTTTTTCACCTCCATCGCACAAAGTTGTGTTACTTTCTTTCTCTTCTTTACAGGAGGAATGGCTCGACAATCGTATGTTTTTTTTTTTATATACTTGTGTAGTCTGTTTTATCTCACTACCACTATCAGCACTTTTTTGCTCCTTTCTGTCGGTACCTTTTTTTTTACTTTGCTTTGTGAACTTGGTATTTTTTCTCTCTTCGCATTCAGCTAGTCATTCCAAAAGGGACTTTTCCCATTCCGTCTGCAGTTTCATTGTCGTTTTGTCGTTACCTGAATGGCTTCGAACGAGATGATTATGAATTCTTTGTATGTCATACCCTGAGTTTACTATTTTTTCACTCAAATAATAATACAGACACCGACAGGTATCATACGTTACTTGTGAGTATAGGTGAACATGATTTTCTTATAATTTATTTTACTAATCTGAAAAATTAACTGCTATTAGAAAACCTCACTAATCTATCCTTTTGTCTTTTGTTCTGTTTAATATATGTTTTTTTTTTTCTGGGGGGGGGGGGGGAGGCTCCTTTCGAGCAATACGGCATTTTGAAATGTAAATACTAAATGGATTTTCCACGAACGTAATGATGCGAAGATAAACCCCTTCACTCCCCTGTTCAAGGGTCCCATCGAACGGATGCTTTTTCTTTTAGGGCTCACAACTCTCTTTTTCTTTGGAGATATGTAATCCTATTCTCTTTCCTTGTGAGTGCGTGCATGAGGATACGAACGATAAAAAGCATGATTTTCTTATTAATGTGGTTATTAAAACTTTTCTTTCTGCTTTCTTTCCGACGAGCTCATAAGTATGAGAGCTCCAATACCGGGTTAGTTGATCATAATTCGCGCATGCTTAAAGGGAGAGCATTGGTGATGTTGCTGCTAAGTCATTATGCAGTTGGTACACCACAAAGGTTTTGAAAGTGAGTTCTAAGGTGACCTTTGCCCACCCTATGCTTTTCCTTTCTTTCTCATTTCTTTTTTTCTTTTAGCTTGGAAACACCATCCCTGTTACCCCCATATTCAGGACCGAAAGTACCATAGACCCTTTCTTTTAGAATCGTTTGAGCATGCCTACCAGTTCATCATCCTCACCGCGCGTGTCTGACGCTGGGGTTGCCCTGGACTCGGTGCCATATGAACAGGAGGACGCTACAAAGCTCTGTGAGCGTCTACGCCTTAGTGAGGAATGGAACATGCGCCTGCAAAATCAAATACAAGAGTTGTTAAAGCTTCCCCGGAACGAAATCGAGGCGATGCGGGCGCGGATGCAGGAGCCGGAGATCGCGGTCCCCCTTCTCCAATGCTACGACGCCACGATCCAGGAAAAGTCCACCGCGGTGGAGCGACTGCTTGCGGAGAACCTGCAGCTGCGCGCGCAGGTCGAGGCCGACGCGGAGGAGATCGCGGGGCTGCGGAATGACGTCCGCGTCGCGGAGGAGCTCGCCGCGCATGTGCGAAAAAAGTTCGAGGAGGAGGCCCAAGGGCAGCGGCGGGGCGCGCAGGGTCTGCAAGAGGAGTGCGACCGTCTGCGCCGCGAGCTCACCCACGCATTGGACGCGCAAAGCGCCGCGAAGGCCTCCGCGGCG